CACCCTTCCGTGCCCGCCCCTCCACGGCCCGCTCCGCCCCGGCCCCGCATCCCCCCCCCCAATGGGGGAAGTGGGGGGTCCCCTGGGTGCGGGACACACACGTGTGGCCCTGGGGGGGCTGCTCCCCTAGTGCCCCCCACCCGAATCCAGGCACCTCCTTTGGAAAAGGACCCCCTCGGGGGGTAGATGGTCAGTGGGGTGGGATGGAGGCTGGGACCCCCCCGCCCCCCGAATTGGGGTGTTCAGGGAAGGAGGGGTCACCCCTCACCCAAACTCTGCTGCCTTTATTTTGGGGTCACCCAATTGGGGTGGGGGGGTCCTGGCTGTCGGTGGGTGTGGGCTGTGGGTTCTGCCGGGGGGGTGGCAGTACCCCCCCTCCCGGGTGCCATCAGGGGTGATTCCAGCCATGGGGGACAGTCCCCTCCTGCCCCTGCTCCCGTCCCCCCCCTCTGGGGCTGGAGCTTTTCCCCACGGCGGGGGGGGTGAGCCCCTGGGGGACCCCAGCCCACAGCCCCGGGGAGAGGGGCACAGGGACACGCCGTGCCCAGAGCCACCCCACCGGAAGGACACCGCTCGTGGGGCTGTCCCCAACCATCCCCACGGCCAAAAAGGAACTGGGGGGGACAGTTTTCTCGTGGGAGCACTGAGGAAGGGGGTCTGTGCCCCCCCCCCGATGGGCACGAAGCAGCACAAGGCTTTTGCCGGGGCGCCAGGCTGGGTGCAGGGACAGGGACGCTTGCCAGCCCTCCAAATAGTCCCCGCGGGGGGGACACACACTAAAAATAACACAGCTCGGGTTGCCGGTGGGAAGCTGACCATGGGGGGAGGTTTTTAGGAGGCTCCCATACACCCATTTTCCCCCTGGGGTGGAGAGGCAGGGGACAACAGGGAGACGGTGCCCAAATAAAGCTCTCGAGCGTGGCAGCCCCGTTTGCAAACCCTCGGGGTGGGCAGGACCCCCAAATTTCCCTCCCACCTGGAGTCCAACGTGCGGAGCAGCAGCTCTGGGGATGGAGGGGCTCTGGCAATGGGGACATGCCCGTCCCCGTCCCCCCCCTCCCCGCCGGGGCTGCCGTTGCCTCAGCAAATTGCCGGTTGTGGCACGACGTGGGCCGCGGCCACACCTTGGCTTTTGTGGGTGTTTCGTGGCTTGTTCTCCAGGAGATTGTTAGCAAAAACGGAGCAGCCGGGGCAGAGCGAGCCCGTGACCCAAAATCTCTCGGATCTGGGCACTTCCAGGCTCCTCACCACCTTCCCCTGGCTGCTCCAGTCCCTTCCCTTGCCGTCCCTGTGCTCTCTGGGTTTGGGGGGATGCACAGCCTGTCCCCCATCTCTCAGCCGTGCTGTCGAGCATGGTCCTTGCCATAAAAAAAGGGGGTTCTGCTCCCACTCCCACCCTGGGAAGACACCCCTGGCTGGGAAACCTCACCCCGCTGCGAGGTGTCAGAGCCTGCACTCATTTTCCACGTTTGTTTTTTTTTTTTTTTCAGATGAACTATTGTCTCTGGCATCCTGTTTGTCCCGGCGAGTTTCTGGGGCAGGGAAGAGGGTGTTTGGTTTTGGCAGCTGCGGGGCAGCTGCAGCGTGGCAGGAATAGCAGGCAGGGGTGGTGCTCGCCCTCACCTCCTACCTGCCTGCCTCCCCTGCCAGCGCTGGCACCGGCTGCCCCTCGCCCCGTGGGTGCCAGCATTGATTTGGGCAGGAAGCCCGCGCCGATCGATGGGGGGAAGGTATAAATAACCTGCTCAGAGGTGACAGTTTTAACACTGACCCCGCTCCATGCTTAGTTATTTAAATACTTTATGGAGTTCCTGTGGGTGATCACCCTGCAGAGGCCTTACCCCTTTCTGCCTCCACTCCCTGCCACTCTAACAGAAGATCTCGGCATTTTGTGTCAAGTGGCTTCAGAGCCACCGGCTGCCTGCACTGGTGGTGCTGGTGCAGGTCCTTGGGCACCTGGTTGAGGTGGTTGGGGTGAGTTGCAGCCTTTCCCTCACCTCTGCTGGGTAGTTACTGCCTCAAAAGGCGTCAAACATCAAGACCTCGGTTGCTCGGTCAAACTCAAACTGGCCGGTGAGTTCCCCTGTGATGAGCTGCGGCACTCATGGGACAATCCACAGACAGTGTGAGTGTTTTAGGCTGACAAGTGACAGCCAGACACACGGACAGCCCCTGGCTCGTGAGCTGCAGGTGGCTGTGAGCAGCTCTGTGCGGTGGGGAGCCCCATCCTGCTCCGAGCACTGGCATCTCAGTGTCACAGCGTCTCTCCCCAGCTGTCTCCCTCCCTGGGGCTCTCACCCAGCCCAGGTTGGGGCTGGGAGTTACCTCTCTCCAACAGCCATTTGCACCTCCAGCAGCTCCCACCGCTGCGGGCGAGCAGCAGCCGACCAGGAGAGCTTGCTTTTCTCAACCCGAAAACAGACCTGGGTGTAACGAGCAGGGGTATGCCGACCGGGCAGCCGCTGGAGCGTGAAATTAAAGACTTTTAATTAGCAAAGGGCTGGAGCAATGAAGAAAGTAAAGCATGGGGTTCGCAAGCCATGCCCTGGCTGCGCTCCCAGCCCCGCCACTGACTCACTGCAAGGGCCCGGGGCGAAGCTCTGGGTTCGGCTTTGACTCACTCCTTCCAACTGCGAGTGGCTTGGCGCCTGCGCTGGGCCGGGGACCTGCGAGGGCCGCGGGCGAGGGGAGGGCAGGGTGGTGTTTGGCCAGTGTTATCAGCCCCAGGGCCTGCGACAGCACGGGGAGGGCCCTGGGCCGCTCTGGGGGGGGACCAGCAAGGCCGAGGTGCCATCTCCCCGCTGTGGTGCGGGCCTGGAGGAGGCCCAGAGCCCTCTCTGCTCCCGGGAGGTGTTGGGATTGGGGGCCCCGGGGACAAGGGGTACCACCAGGGCGGCGGTGGGGCCTGCGGGGCGATGGAGGCCCCGCCATGGCGGCCCCAGGCCTCGCCCTGCGCGGGGGGCCGGGGGCGCCCGGTGCCATGGCAACGGCTGCGGGGCCATGGGGGGGGCGGTGTCTCCGCCTCGCAGAGATTGGTGCGCGCCGCTGCCAGTCAAGCGCCCAGACGGGGCGGCTGGCTCCTGTTCGTCCTTTTCATTGGTCGTTGCCGCTGTCGCTCGGCGGAGCTTTCGTGTTTCATTGGGTGAACGCCTTGTCACTCAACCGCCTCGGGGGGCGGGTCGCTTTGGCTGTCTTCTCCACTCCGATTGGCCCAGCGCCCGACGGCCGGGCCAAGCACGGCGGCCAGCGGCGCTCTCCGCGCGCCGATTGGCCGCTCGGCCTGCCTATCCAAGCGGCGGGCGGGGGCGGGCGCAACGCCTCACCGGCCGCTTTCCATTGGACCGCCGCTCCCTCCCGCCTCCCCATCCCGGGCGCTGATTGGCGGCGACGACGCGTGAGGCGGGAGGGGGGAGGCGGTTGGGCCAGGGCGGGGAGCGGGAGCGGGGCCGGTGGCGGCGGCGG